GAAAAGTTAGGAAGTAATTTAGAGAAATATATATTGTACCGAAGATTCACTGGCCTTCCTTGAACATCAAAATAAATTTCCAACTGCCAGGAAGAGAAGGTACGTCAAGCGGTACCAAGGCATACAGGCTGAAACTGCAATAGCAAGTTTCACTGCTCCTAACATAATTCACAGACACGGAATATCCCAATAGTCTCATTACAAAGCACGCTTCCCAACACTTCGCCCAGGTCAGGGGGCAAAGACCTCAGAGCTAAGACTTTGGCTGGCAAAATGGGAGCAGCACTGAAGTTTGAAGTGTTTAAGAGTTTCACGATTTCTCAAAGCAATAGTACTTGTGCGATACTGGGAGAGAAGGGCAAGGAAGTGACCAAAAGATAGTCGTACTCCCCCAAAAAAGGTGTGAGAAAGATAAAGAGAACCTCAAGAACATATTCAAGTGTACCATATAACTAAACAGACCAGATGGAAAACAAAACAAGATGCGGTTTTCTAGGCAGATGTCTAAAAAACTTCTTTTCTGAGACTTCGCATCATTCTTCTACTGATACATTCTTCTACTTCCCACAATCCAACAAGTAATTCAGGTTATAACCTGAGGCTTTCGTGAACTTTCTTCTATAGAATAAAGAAGTCATTCATTACTGCTACCAGCCATTATTACAAACAAGTGCTACTATAACATACCTATAAGGTTCTACCCATACTGTGTTACGTACATTCAGTAGCTGGCGATAAATCCTGCACTGTAAAGTACTTCATAAAGCCTGATCATCATTTGGCTTAAGAAGAATGTAACAAACTTCCTTCTCCTAATAAAGTTGAACAGATGCAACTTCATCTCCAAATTATTACTCCAAGTCTTGACATAGACCTGAAAGCTGTCAACAGTTGTATCTGACAACACTATATATTTTAAAACCTGCCTATAAATACATCATATAAAATTGTATATGACTGTATATAACACAGTCTGAGATTTTGTATAATACTTGTACATCCTCTGCTCAATCACCTTAAATTTCCAAATCAGTTCTTCATTTAAAAGACTCAAAATGTAACATACCTGCTATCTTCAGTTGAATTTTTACATATTCTTCCCTAAGAGGCTTTTAAAGACAAAAAAACCAAAACATTTAAAGGCTTTATCCTTGTCTTATAACAACATTCCCAAGAAGAGATTTAAATGTGAACACCAGAAGGATACTTATACTAGGTGTTTTCACCAAGAATTTTCTGTGTTGTGGCCATCCAGAAACAGGATCACAAACAAAGTGGGCTCCAAGGAGCAGTCAACATTTTAAGTGATGGAAGTAACACATCAGCAGTTACCTAAAGCAAAAACTGTCCATTTTTAGCTGAACTAATTGCTGCAAGCATCATTGACAGAAACAAGCTATACTGTAACTACAGTGGTAGCTTTGCTGCAGTGCTGAGAGTCCACACAAAAACACTTGCTGCCTAAAAACACAGTGGAAAAACTAACTGTGGATCTCAAAACCAACTCTCCCACCGGCTGTTCTTAACAGAGGTTAGAATATTTACTTTGGGGCTGAGAGAGAGGAGAAGTCCCATTCACTGAGGAACAGAGCAGGAAACTACTGGTCAAAATTCCCAGTTACAGTGTTATCACCTTAAAGGAAGCTGGAACTCGGCACTGTGTTGCAAGAAAGCGTTTGAACGGTCACGTGCAGGTTTGGCCTCTGCATCTGGGAGTGCCATAAGATCTTATGGAATTTGGGTCTCGCTCTGCTTAATGCTCTAAGCCTACTCCAGGAGTGCTCGCAGCACAGAGTTAGACACGTATGTATTTTTTGTGAGACCAAGGCCCAATTATTCAGTGAAATGAACTCTTCCCGAGATGAGACATAAGGTTACATAGCAATATTTACTCAGTTATACTTTGATCATAAAGGAGCCTGAGGTCAGACAGGAACATCGGACCCTCACAGTCAGGAAAGGCTGCTGTTTGGTTCCTGTTAAAGGAATATAGGAGCTAACTGAGCACGCCTTCCAATGTGTCAACATACGATAACATAATACTTTTTATATTCTCGTTCAAATGGCATATTAACAAGCATAGTATGGATTTAAGTATGTTACATTAGAGAGTTAATATTTATACATTACTTCAGCATGCAAAGCTGCTCAGTAAAAGTGACAATAGAGTGTAATACACTAATGGTAAATTAATTACAGTAATTTAACAAATGCAACACCCACATGTCACTGATGGATGAAGCCAAGCAGTATGCCTAAAAACATAAACAGTTGGAGATTCAGTTCAACTTACAGAAGTTATTCTTGTTGTTCTTTTTTATTTCCATAGAATTGCTATGCTAAGCCCCAAAATTAAATTCAGTAGTTTTCAAGATAAAAAGAAACAATTTGGCTAATTTGCAAGTTACAAAACAAGGGAGGGGACTTCAAGCATGCTTATGATACACAAGATAAATGCCAGATACCACACCTAGACAAGCTTGAGCTAGTTACCATCAGGACAAAAACAACGCTTCAAGTTATTTTTCACCATGCTGATGCTACTAATGTATGACCTCCAGTGGGACTACTCGTTCCAAGCATCCAGTTATTACAATGAATCAAGAAAAGACAAAGCATGCAATCAAATAAGAATGCCAGCATTCAACGGGATGTGGTATAACGTATCACTAATACCACAGAATCTTGAAATTGCAAAAAAGAATAACGTTTCAAGTGAGGCCTTCTTCACAGGTGTTGCAGTATTATGATTAAACAGTTATTCATCCCAATAAGAAATACTAAGATTTTTAGAAGAGAAAAAACAAGTAGATTCACGACCATCTTGTGACCACATAAGGACAGTGTATTTTGAAACTTTCTGCTCAAACCCCTAACATACAGCATTCCTTATTTATTACTCAGTAGATGAAGAGAGCATGCCCCTCCTGGTGCTTTTCCTGCACCGGGAAAAGCAACAAGCTTTGCATCATTTCAGCCTACATCCTCTTTAATATGCCAATTTCAGAGATTCGCAAAAGACAAAATGTGGTGTAGTACAGCAATTAGTAGATTATCATGTGCCACAGAAGAGTACGATCAAATTCAGAGTTATTCCGAAGAGACCTTCCTGCACCTGAATAAACAGTTTCCTAGGTTATTGATCCTCATCACTGCATTTACATTTAATCCACTCCCTCCTGGCAACAAGGCAGGTTGCAAGCCAATGTTTAAGCAAGGAAGAAAAAAAAAAAGTTTTACCTTTGACCAACAACTGGCTACATGTTTTAATGATACCCTTGTGCTTAGCACGAACTGCACAATACTCTGTGATAGGGCATCCTTTCTCCACTAAAAGAAACACATGCACCTTCTTCCTCCACAAGCTACTGTGACGGTATAATGAGCAGCCCTGCAACAAAGCACTCCTATTGAGCAGCTCAGTACTATAAGGATAGTTATGTTTTCGTTCTTAAGGACAAATATTCCTTTATTATAATAGGGTTTGACTGTTTTCTGTTAATGTTCAACCACTGCGCTGGAAGGAGGTAGTTTTAGATGTAGGAAGTAACAGCTATGCTGTCTTCAGGTCAACACACCAACACCATATAGGTGTCAGGCCATGTGACGGAAACCTTGCGCACCCTCTGAGGGTTGGATTGAAGAGAGCCCTGCGGTGGCTATGAACAGGTCACACTACAGAAAAGACGACAACCCAGCCTGCTACAAATAGCATTCACAAATGGATTAACTAGAATGCAAAACTGTGGGAATTTTACATTAGCCTCCCGTTTCCCAAAAGAAAGCTTTTGGGCAAGTGGGTCAGTATTTAGACAGGTTATAATACATATATATGTAGTAGAATTATCAAGAGAATGAATCAATTTAAAAAGTCACCTTGTACCTTAATGTTTGACTTGTATTAACAACGACCTCTAGGATAAGCGGTAACTGAAAGTGGTCAGCAACTTTGAAAGCAGTTGGCAACTCACAGGCAGATTTCTAACTTTAAGGTGAAGAACACAAGCAGTAAAATGCAAGTCCTATACCAGCCCTATTCATCTCAGTATCACAGGAGAGACAAAAAACTATGACAATTTGCTCCACGTTTAATATGCCTCTTAAAGGGCCTCAGCTTCTTGGTTGATTCAGAGTTAGCCGAGTGTTTCTCCTGCCTCAAGAGCACATGTGGCCATCCTCAAGACTATACGGTACCGGTGCTGCAAGCCTGTACTTCACCTGCAGGGACAGCTATCCGGCTCTACTCATCTCTTAGGGGGAAAATAAACAAAGAAACTTACTTTAACTTCTGTTTTTCTTAATCGACTTTCAGAACCGAGAACCTGAGAGTTCAGAAAGAGGAACAAGCATCGGCCACATATTAATCAGTACCTAAAGAGGGGGTTGGTCCGATTTTAGAATAAACGGCGGCGACACATGATCCAATTAAATTCTAATTATGTAAGTAGTAGGCAAGAGTATTTACACAGGCACTGATTACAGCTATTAGAGTCTAAAGTCGCCGGCCGGAGAGGCTCTGCTTCCTCCTCGCCGTCCCGCCCGCACCGCCGCGGGGTTCGTTTCATTTTTAACCTCCCCCTTTCACAGCTCTCGTTACAAACAATGGGAGACGCTGGCCTGAAAACCCCGTCTCCAAACCGTGCTTCCCTCCGGCGGCCACAAGCCCGGGAGAGGCGCCGCTCT